CACATCCTTGATTATTAATTCAGGATTTATTTCTGACCAGTCATGATATTGCATTATTTGATTAATCAATGGTGAAATACTCTGAGATGGTGAACGTAACTAACGGCGCTGGGTGGGCGTTAATTACCTAACAATACTGTTTACCATAGTAACGCACGTTAAGTCCACACGTTCACCGGCTGATACGTTAATTGTCACTTTCTATTTAAGGATCATGAATATTCATAACACTAAACAGGATAGTAATTTCATTTTCATTTCTAAAAATGAATTAAAAATAATGAAAATCTATATTACGATTACCTGTAAATCCCCTTCTTGAAAGTCTTTGAATCTTTTCGCCTCGTACACATCTCCGAATCAAGAACTGTCTTGGCATTTTTGTTTGTTTGTAAAATGATGCAATATCTCCAACTTCCAACACAAGACAATGTCCAATACAATACAATGTATGTTCCTTCAAGGTCTTTATGATAAACAATAAAGTTGTTTTTAAAAATTTTGTTAACTCTTGAAGAGATTTGAGTGTCCCATTAAGGTCCGATGCATGATGTGTTATAAACGTATATAACGAAAAGAAAGTCATAAAAAGGACGTAATACAATATAACGTTACTATAGATGCCAACCCAACCATAACCACAGAAAAGTAAGATAGGCTATAGATTGGGCTTACCTAATCTTCATCCGACACTATTTTTATTATTTGCTAGTAAGTAAGACGCATAAGTGTTTTTGGGCTGAGAGGTTTGGTTGGCCGAATGATCTAATGCACCACTTTAGATCACGAGGCCTGCTATTGCGTCAAGCGGCGTGGTTTCGATCCAAAACTTGTATGTGGCAAGGAGTAGGGTCGCCTGACCAACCTCGTGGGTCTTCATTGTCCCGGTAAGTGCAGAAAAGTAGGACGCTATGCCACATTTCATATTTTTTCATGATAGTCAGATTGATTTGGTTGATCGCGGGGGGGAGGGGGACGCAGGTTTGCGTGTGTTCGCTATATCATAAGATCTGTCATTGTGTCAACTGGCGTGGTTTCGATTCCCCGGTTGTACGTGACAAGGAGTAGGGTCGCCTGTCCAACCTCGTGGGTTTGCTCCAGGTCCTACGGGTTTCTTTCACTGGTAAAGACCCCTACGCGCATGCGAATGTCCCGGAATGACCTAGCTTGTTTGTGTTGAGTGGACATTTACCTCCATTTTTCTCTCTCAGATTTGAGAAATGAAACCCAAAGTAAACTAAAATGGCGGTATCTGCATAAAAAAAAATCGGGAATGCATTAGCTGTTAAAAATCTTTCTTGGTTTTCTCAGTTTATGGCTGGTCATGATTTTGACAGAATTATAAATATGGCTAGTACAGAGAGGTTGGTCGGTGTCGCTTTCACATGAATTACATTATGCTAGGTTCACACTATCAGGCTTCGCGGTACGATTGCAATCGTGGTTTAATCGTGGAGTAATCGTGGTGGTCCTATCAGGTCTTATCATATATTGAAGTCAGTCGTACCAATCGTGTTGGTAGTATCGAAACGTATCCGAACGTATCTGCACGTACCTGATCGTGGACTCAATATATAATATTAATAATAGTGCACTTTTAACGCGCTAAACTCCATACACTAAGTATATGCTCATAGCGCTACCACAATTTTATGTCCCATAGTATTCCTTAAACATTTATGTTTTTAATAAACTCTTGAATTACAATAGTGTCGGTGCATCTGATGGTAGTTTATTCCAAAATGATACTGAGTTATACGGAAAGATCGCTGTCGAAATAATCTTAATTTGACTTTTGGGACACAAGCTAAGTTTTGGTACGCCGATCGTAGTGTTCGACTAGGATGATATCTTGAGACAATAAGGACAATCCTATCGTAACGCATCGCACAGTGGGAATCTAGCATAACACATACTACCAGGCATGACGAGTATTGGCCTACCCTGTAAAAACATTGTTACATCGAAATGCATTGGTTTCAACGCCAGTATCAACCGGGATAATGAACACGGACATACGCCACGCGGTGGCCTATGAGGGAAATTTTGTCCGGATAGCGGCATGTCCGCATACTAGACGTCTCATTCAAAGTGTCTTTTACTTGAGCTACGATAGAGTGTCCGCCTACTGCCAGTGGTTCGTTTTCGTACACGTGTATACGGGACCTCGGTTTAATGTCCCGTCCGAAATACTTGGCGATGTACCTTGCCAGGGCGTGACCGGGGAGAAATCAGTACATATGACACTGTTTGTGAATCAGTATCATGTTTACTGAAACACCGTGCCTCCAACCCAGTTAACATTGATGGTTAGATTTACGTTACGTTTACGTCAAATTTACTGAAACACCGTGCCTCCAAGGGGAATCGCGAAAAACGTCCTCATTTTTACTGACTAGTTGTTGTAGTTGTTCCTGGTGTTTAATATCCGCTTCCACCGAGGTTGATATCTCAGACAATTCTTATTTTAATTATCTAAGCGCGCACGCTTGTCCTGTGAGGGGAAACCGGGGTACCACGTGATCCAAGCCACATACGCTAACACCAGGGATCGAATCCACAACGACCAGCTAGATCCGGACGCGCAACTCTGTAGACCACTACGCCAGATGCTCAAAGACAATTTATGTATACGACAGACATACCTATATCCGGTTGGTCTAGAAACAGTTGTTTACCAATCAGACTTCCGGGCGTGTAACTGTCTCTTTTAGGCCTATTCAATAAATATTTCAACTGGCATGGGCCATATATGCCAGTGACCATTTTTACCCGTCGCAACTTCCAGCCGTTTACATCTAAAACCATTTAACTATACACTTTTTTTTTTGAAAATTTCTAAAATATGTCGCCGCGTCCGGGTGACACTACATCCAAAGTCCGTCTTGATTATCCTGATTAATGTATGCAGAACAGTAGGATGTTAAGGGGGCTAAATCGCTAAAATTTGGAACCTAGAACTTGACACAAACGGGCCGCAACGCATATAATAATATAATATTAATGTATATAAACTGATATTGTTTCTGTCTTTACTGTAATTTCTAATCAGTTACGCCAGAAGTCTTAAACGAATGGAAATCTCTAGCGTCTGGTTATTCCAGTCTACACTGTTAGTATTTATTGCACATTCTCTCCAGATAAGACTACGGCGTCACCGTTTGACAGGACTCTTGTGGGATATGTCTAGCCACTTCTTCGAGTTCCTTGTTACAAATGGCGCTTAAACGCATTGTGTTACACGATTCGTGTAACAATGGTAAAATATGTTTATTTTGTCTTAACTATTGGATACCAGGAGCCCATCTTTTCCTTGAAGATCACAACAGCATTATTGATTTAAATTGACAAATAATTTGTATTTTCGATGTCGAAGACTTTGGGTGATATTGAGGTAGAGACTTAGCTACTTTAAACCCCATTAATTGCATTCATACGTCCAAAAAATAACAAATTGAAGACATCATTTGGTATATGTTATAGATAAGTATTGGCGCCAAGTATAACAATTAAATATTTATATAGAAAAATAGGATATACATGTTCATAATAGGATGTATAATATATATTGATATATATATATATATACAAGAATATTAGCACAACCGTAAAGCTGCACTACTTTGTTTCACGGTAAACGATGAAAAGATAAAAGGTATTCCGACACAAACTGATTTCAACACTGGTTTAACAACATTTTAAAGTACTTTTCGTCCGTCGTGGAACTATTCATAAATAATGTTATTGCATAGAGATAGTCACCATAGTATATTTATACATATTTACATAGTAACACTGTGGTTTTAATTGGCTATAGTTACCTTTGTGTATGGTTACATAGTATATAGGTAACGAGCAGAAAACATGTATATACGTGTGTTAATCTGTTGTATATGGGTACAATTTAGGAACAATGAATGTTGTATATGGGTACATAATGTGTATCTTAAACATCAGTATGTATCATTACACAATACGATGTGTGGTCTATTACACAATACGATCGATGATACATTACACAATACGATGTATCATAATATGTACCATTACACAATACGATCAGACTGACTGAATGTTCAGCGCTATAGAAAACGATTATTATTATTATTATTATGATCTATTACACACTACGATCGATGATACATTACACAATACGAAGTATCATAATATGTACCATTACACAATACGATGTAACATAATATGTACCATTACATAATACGATCTATGATCAGTTACACACTACGATGTATCATAATATGTGTATCTTACACACTGCGATATACTATATGATGTGCATCGTTACACAATATATGTGCATTTTAAACATTACGATGTTTCATATGGTGTGCATATTAAACACTGCGATGTATCATACGATGTGTATTTCGCATGGTACTTCTTTTTGAGAACATAGGAGAAAGCGGGTAATCCGTATTGTATTTGTTGCATACTCATAAAATGTTAATCACAATTGAAGTCGTGTTTAACGTGCTATGTTACTGCACCTGTTGTTTGTTATACGTCTCTTTGATGAGGCCACATAGTTAACAATGACCTTGAATGGGGTTCAAGATTGGAAAATAAAATTGTAAAACATAAATGCTTTGATTGTGAGAATACCGGTAGTAGATCACGAAAATTGATAACATTTCTATTGGACAAATGAATGTTGTGCACGTGGTAGGTTATACACACTATTTCTAGAACTCACGACGCCGCTTCCCTTGTGATGAGTCCATATGGTTAACCCTTGTGAGGAGTCCATATGGTTAACCCTTGTGAGGAGTCTATATGGGTAAGAGTGATATTGAATTTGATTCCATTTTGGAAAAGTGTGCACATATAAAAATAATGATACCATTCTCTACATCACGTCTATTTTGGAAAAGTGAACAAGGGTATAAACTTCTCTACATCAAGTCTCTCTTTGGTTTTGTTACGCTATGATATATAAAGACACTAATATGCTGTGTTGTAACTTTCTTGTATTTTGTTGTGCATTTGTATCTAAAGACACTAATATTTTATGTTATGACTTTCTGGATAAGTGAACGAGGGTATAAACTTGTTGGTACCCTTCGCGACATCACGTCGCCATATTGGATTTATTTATAGATGGACAAATAACAGAATAAATCACAAATAACTGTCTGATGATATTTTATTAATATGTTCCATTGGAGCTTGTTTTGTCTTTAATTTATCTTTACGTTCATTATACCAACCAATGAATAACAATGTTACAAACTCGACTAATTCAATCACTGATAAAACACTCGCTCCTATAAATAACCCCATCTGACCTCCCAAATCACCTGAAATAAATCAATCGATAAATTAGATCATCTGGCCTCCCAAATCACCTGAAATAAATCAATCGATAAATTACTCTATGACCTCCCTAATCACCTGAAATAAATCAATCGATCAACTGATCCGCCTGACTTCTGCTTAAAGCGAATGACCAACGATTTTCAACATGTTTCAATATATACTAAATATATTTTCAGAAATAATACCCTCTGTAACACAAGGAAAAAAGTTTTTGTAAGCGAGAAATTAATTTTTATTCAAACCGGAAGTGATGTAGTTGGTTCAACATGCTCACCGATCTCTATAGTAAGCATACAGATTTGGCATACGTTTTACTGTCGTATTTTGTTCACGCGTCTACGTTTAGCCAAAAATCATATCAAATGGGCTGTTTATTGGGATATTATGAATATGAAATTATGTGTTTGATAAAGTTAAATACACATATCCGATTTATGGAAACCTTGTCAAAAATTATTGGTCTTCCCCTTTAAGTACATATCTACTACAATGCAGACTGTATTCTTAACTGAGACTGGTTTGTTTATCATATCTTTTGCCTCCGTTACACAGCTTTTAAAATTTGGTGGAATTCTTTCATGTTCCACAATAAGGAAACCATATGTATCTATCGCTCTAAAACTAAATATCGATCTAGCTGTTTTTCTCTCGTATGCAAAGAATGACCATTTTGCTCAATAATCCCAGTCAGAATTGCATGCGTTAAGGTATGAAATATTTATACAGAACTGACATAAATTAAGTAAAGTATTAGTGAATCCCAAAATTAGAAACATTAATATACGCGTTGATTTATATCTCAAATAGACCCGACGGAAGCACAAAATAGTGCCAAGATGGCAGTTTCCATAAGCAATCAGAAGCCGTAAATTAAATTAAAACGACGTCAAATATAGGAGTTGTACATACTATTTTGATGAAAATGTATTGGATGTTCAGAATCCATAGGGGGGGGGGGGACGTGGCTAAGTGGGTAAGACGCTGGCTCGCTAGCCTGGAGGTCGGGTGTTCGATCCCTGCATTGGCCGAGAAAGTTCATCGGGCTTTTCTGGTGTGCCCCCCCCCCCCGTGTCAGTGATGCAGGACGGAGGGCCTGACAAGGACACCTGTCTAGTCCTTCGGATGAGACGAAAAACCGAGGTCCCGTGTATACATTGGAATGCACGTAAAAGATCCCTTGGATTGGAAATCGATATAAGAGTAGGCGATAGTGCCGCTGCCCGGGAAAAATTTCCCTCATAGCACACTGTATTGCGTTACCCGTCTTCATTAGCCCACCATAGGAGCAGAACAGTAGGACGTTAAACCCCATTTACCTTACGAAGGTGAGTATTATTCACACGATTCTATACAAACACGGTTATGTCTGAATATTAAGGTCACCAGATGTAATCAGGGCTAGGGCTAACACTAACCCTTGTCATAGCTCTTATCCAAACCCACAGTCTTTTCAATAATCACCCGCCCTAACCCTATTTACAGGGAGGTTGGAAGGCTGAATGGTTAGCGTGCGTGCGCTGTATCATAAAGTCTGTCATTGAGTCGACTGGCGTGGTTTCGAATCCCCGGTTGTACGTGGCAAGGAGTCGGGTCGCCTGTCCAACCTCGTGGGTTTTCTCCGGGGCCTTCGGTTTCCTCCCACTGCTAAAGACCCCTACGCGCAAGCGAATTATGTAAATAAAATTAAACCATGTTAGTCCCAAAATGACCTAGTTTGTGTCGAGTGGACGTTAAACCCCATTTCTCTCTCTCTCTCTCATCCTATTTACATCTCGCAACTTTGACGAAATCTGCATAAATATACATACACGACAAAAGGGAGATAACCACCAGACCAGTATACCTGCACGTAGCTGTACAGCTGTGCGCTTCGTCCTGTGCAACTATTTTATAATCCTTGATAGTAGGCATTAATTCAAACCTAACTTACTACGAAATCCAATCCACATGATTCGATGCAGTTTCCACGGATTAAACTAATATCAGAGATTCATTCTAGATATAACAATATTCAAGATGCTTTGTGTAAGATTTAGATAAAGAGCCTAAACGTTAGAAAATGGCTATACTGAAGATTTCTGTCAAATGTCTCGGCTGTTATTACTGCATCAGAGATTCATTTTAGACATACTAATATCAAAGATACATTATGTAAGATTTAGATAAAGAGCTAGATGTTAGAAAATTGAAAATGACAAATGAATACAATTGAAGATTTCTGTCAAATGTCTCGGCTGTCATTGTTACAGTTGCAAATCACAACCTTCCGATGACATAGAGCGTTTATTATGGGCTTGACATGTGAATATATGTCTAATTAACGTTTTAATTTGAAGCCAAAAAAACATCCGCAATTGGCAGATTTAGATAATGTATCTTAATCAAACGGTAAAACACCAACCTAATATAGTTTCTATGGTAATTTCTTCTTTCTGTTCAGTAACTGTAACTGTTAATGTTTCATAATAAATCCTCAGATCTATCACATTATCACTGAAAGATACAATAACACATCGTTAAAGGGGGTTTCACATTATCACTGAAAGATACAATAACACATCGTTAAAGTGGTTTCACATTCTCATTGAAAGATACAATAACACATCGTTAAAGGGGTATCACATTCTCACTGAAAGGTACAATAACACATCATTAAAGGGGCATCACATTCTCACTGAAAGATACAATAACACATCGTTAAAGGGGTTCCACATTCTCACTGAAAGATAAAATAACACATGGTTAAAGGGGATTCACATTCTCACAGAAAGATACAATAAGACATCGTTAAAGGGGTTTCACATTCTCACTGAAAGATACATCGTTAAAAGGGGGGAGGGGTCGAAATAAGAATAGAATGCAACCCACAACATGTCATAATAATAAACCTTATAATCTAAAAGCGCACATACGACAACACGGTCACAAACACTTTCACACGATTCATTTACACGTGTATAATAAATGTTTATAAACATGTAGGACTATCTGGTGTATAGCGGTGTGTATATGTAGGCCTACCTGGTGTATAGCGGTGTGTATATGTAGGCCTACCTGGTGTATAGTGGTGTGTATATACATGTAGGCCTACCTGATGTATGAACCACTTCTAGTATATATGTTTATACATTGTACTAATGGTTTCTATACATATAGGACTATCTGATGTATAGTAAAGGTTTATATACATATAGGACTATCTGATATATAGTGATGTTTATATACATATAGGACTAGTAAAGGTTTATATACACATATTGGACTATCTGATAGATATATAGTGATGTTTATATACCTGATGTATGAACCACTTCTATTTTTAAGTATTCCGTTGTTTACCATATAGTCCTTGGTGAATGTAGAAGCAAAATCAGCCACGGATATTGAAGATATATATTTTTCTTTAACACAACGACTAGGACAAGTACAGTTCTTTAATATATCAGATATGTTGGCCACGGCTGAAAATATTAATTATATTTTAGGAAATATTAATTATATTTTAACAAATATCAATTACATTTTAGAAAATATTAATTACATTTTAGAAAATATTAATTACATTTTAGAAAATATTAATGACATTTTAGAAAATATTAATTACATTTTAGAAAATATTAATTACATTTTAAAAAAATATTAATGACATTTAGCAAATATTAATGACATTTTAGCAAACATTAATTAAATTTTAGCAAGCAAATATTAATTATGTTTATAGCAAATATTAATCATATTGTTGCTACTATTAATTATAGTTTAGGAAATATTAATAATGTTTATAGCAAATATTAATCATATTGTTGCTAACATTAATTATATCTTAGCAAATATTAATGACATTTTAGTAAATATTAATGACATTTGAGCAAGCAAATATAAATTATGTTTATAGCAAATAGTAATCATATTATTAATCATATTTTAGCAAATATTAATTATATTTTTAAGAAATTTTAGTAAATATTAATGACATTTGAGTAAGCAAATATAAATTATGTTTATAGCAAATAGTAATCATATTATTAATCATATTTTAGCAAATATTAATTATATTTTTAAGAAATATTAATTATATTTTTAAGAAATATTAATTATATTTTTAAGAAATATTAATTATATTTTTAAGAAATATTAATTATATTTTTAAGAAATATTAATTATATTTTTAAGAAATATTAATTATATTTTTAAAAAATATTAGATATGAATTACATTTGAGCAAATATTAATTATATTTGAGCAAATATTAATGACATTTTAGCAAATATTAATGACATTATTGACATTTCAGCAAGCATATATTAATAAACTATGTTTATGGTAAATATTAATCATATTGTTGCTAAAATTAATTATAGTTTAGGAAATATAAATTACATTTTAGAACATATTAATGACATTTTAGAAAATATTAATGACATTTTAGCAAATGTTAATGAGATGTTAACAAATGTTAATGACATTTTAGCAAATGTTAATGACATTTTAGCAAATGTTAATGACATTTTAGCAAATGTTAATGACATTTTAGCAAATGTTAATGACATTTTAGCAAATGTTAATGACATTTTATATTGTTACTAATATTAATCTTATCGTTACTAATATTAATTATATTTTGGCAATTATTAATTACAGTTTAGCAAATATTCATTATGTTTATAGCAAATATTCATTATGTTTATAGCAAATATTCATTATGTTTATAGCAAATATTGATTTCATTATGTTTATAGCAAATATTCATATTATTATATTGATAGCAAATATTTAGTATTATCCATATAAGTATACTACTTTTAAAAAGTCGCGCTCAACTGTGACTCGGTGAGTGTGATACTGACTCACAAACCAAGAGGTTCTGGGTTCGATACCGGTTTCTTGGGGTTAGTGAACCACCACGATTTCGGTTAGAATTTAGACGTGGTCTAATATTAAATAAACGACATAATCAAATAAGAGTTCAGGTAGAGTAGACATAATATATTACCTTTATAAGGAATGTAACAATCCGTTAATGCACTTAAAGAACAATATTCTTCTTCACCTGTAGAAAGATAAATCACAGAAAGGAGGACCATAGTTAGACAAACATTATAATTAATATATGATGAATCAAAATCAGGTCCACTTGAATTGTGGTGTAAAATCTCGTCAAAACAATACTTTCGAGATGCAATTAATAGTGTTTAAACATACATTATGCAAGAGCTAAATCTGTCTATTGCAGGTCTTTCTTCAGGTCTGAAATGTTATCTAAATTATTAATTAGACATTAATTAACTTATCCAAACCATAATCAACTCTCGATGCCATCGCTAGCCTGCGATATTTAGCTGATTGGAATGCATTTTGTGGAAAAATAATTAAATGTAAAAATGGATAATCGACACTTTGTTTTTTAACATCTAACTTTAGCAATGATGCTCGAGGCTAGGCTAAAATTCAAAAGCTAATATTTCGGTTCACAGTGGAGTAATTTGACTGAAATTTTCAGCATATTTTATTTACGTTATCTATTTTGTTTAACTATTACAGCGAGAACTGTCAACTCTTTATCTAATCTACAATAATTCACCTTTAAAGGGACAATAACACTCTTGCTGGCTTGACAGCTCCAGAAAATAACAAATAGCCTTATTCTAAGTACTAGATGTGTTATTGTCCTACCTGTTTTGTAAATTATCCATTAAATCCTATTTTACTTGTCGAGAGGGTTCAAGAATATTTTTAAATCAAAGTCACATTGAAAATCTTTACGTCACGCTTTTCAAATCATTTAGTTGAATTTTTCTAATTTTTTAAATTAGGTGTGTTAAGATGAAATTTGCATCATCAATTAATTGGAATATTGTAAAATAGTACAATTTGTTGACCAGAATAAAGATTGGGACATATTATTCAGTTACAACAAGATTGGTATTGAGCCTTTAATATCTCGTCAACACCATACTTTGAGAGACACAAATGGGTAACTTATGGTGTATATGGCGTGACCTCTGTTTTGGGTTTTTTTCGTCCCATCCGAACAACTACACACAATTGGCTTGTCCGTCTCGCAGGCACCACCTTTCACGAGAACACCAACATGTACAAGACAAGGGGCCTTGGTCTTGCGTTCCATCCGAACAACTGGTCGTTGTTCCTTACTCAGGCATTGGGTCCCTGTAGCCCCTGGCTTTAACCCCGAGCGAGATCGACTCGACGATGTTCTTTACTTTGGTGGCTAAATCTTTTTGTTAAGGTCAGCTCAATTTTTGTCACGGTTGCTGAGATGTAAATAGAGTTGGGGCATGTGATTGTTGGCAAGATTGTAGGTTATGGTTAGGGTAAGCATTGGGTCTCGGTCCATGGTTAGAGTTACGGTTGGGATTAGCGCTAGCCCTGTCACATCTCGTGACAAATGACGGAAAATTGAGCTGGCCTTATCATTTAGCACTAACCTTACACTGGTAGCGCATAAATTATTGGTTCCCTGTAGTATATGGCTTTAATGAAACTGTTTTGTTCCAAAGTTGAACTATTTCACACATTTCCTTACCTTTATCAAATAAACTACGACAATTACAATGTTTGACGTAATCATCTGTTAAACAGTTCATTGTGCATGTCTGTCGTGTATAAATATAATCTTTGTATCTGTCTAATGGCGTCTTGAAACAAGGTTCATGTGACGTCACACAATATTCAGATCCAAAAGCTTTATAGGGTTTACTCAACCCGTCTATCTAAAGAGATAAATAATAAAGTATTTGCTGAGTAGCCTATAACTAGATAGTTGTTATTATCATCTAAGTAGCTTATAACTAGATACAAGCTGTTATTATCATCTGAGTAGCCTATAAATAGATATTTGTTATTATCATCTGAGTAACCTATAACTAGATAGTTGTTATTATCATCTGGGTAACCTATAACTAGGTAGTTGTTATTATCATCTGAATAACCTATTACTAGATAGTTGTTATTATCATCTGAGTAGCCTATAACTAGATAGTTGTTATTATCATCTGAGTAACCTATAACTAGATAGTTGTTATTATCATCTGAGTAACCTATAACTAGATAGTTGGTATTATCATCTGAGTAACCTATAAATAGATAGTTGGTATTATCATCTGTGTAGCCTATAAATAGATATTTGTTATTATCATATAAGTAGCTTATAACTAGATACAAGTTGTTATTATCATCTGAGTAACCTAGCTATAACTAGATAGTTGTCACTTGAATAAACTATAAATAAACTAGAAGCTGTTTGTATCATTTGACATTTTGAGAAACATGTAACATGTAAATAAACAGGAAATAATATGTTATTATAATCAGATCTTTTTGTTGCCTGGAGGAGCTGGTACCACACACCTAGTGATCATCCTTTTTTACGTTTCGAAGACGTTCTTCAAAACAAAAGCCTGTGCCTCTGCCACTCTGTCAGTGCGATCGACATGGAACTATGGTTGTTCTGTATAAATAAGGCATTGAAAGGCCAAGAGATCAAACCGTATTACTATGAACAAGGTACTTCCGATTTGATTGTCGAACTTCCAGTATGGCGTAATAATTCCAAAATGGCGCCGATGACGTCACAAATATATGTTATAAACATTATTAAAAGGAATCTTAACAGATTGATTCTGAGTTCTGGATTTATACATCATGTTTCAATTTATAAAAAAACGGAATTGAGAATTTTGCTTTACGTTTGTAAGACCTTTTAAATATTTGTAAAACACTAACTCTTTCTTTTTTGATGGTGACGGCAGTTGACGAACCTGGTCGTGCAACGAATCCACTTGATGACATCATGGCGGCGGAACCTGGTTCGTGTAATAAAACCTGGAATACAAAATCATCATCATCATCATCATCATCATCATTATCATCAGAGAGAGAGAGAGGGAGAGAGAGAGAGAGAGTTTAACGAGAATCTGCTGTCTCTTCAAAACTTCTCTCGGCGTAGGAGTCTCTAGCAATAGGAGAAACAAGGCGGGGGAAGGGTGTGGACCCACGAAGATCGTCCTAACGAACATGCCCGAGATTGAAGACACATCATTTGTCTCGACGACGACATATATTATGATTTAAGTGCGCGAAGTTGGGTTGCCAGGAAAAAATAAAATGTAACTAGACCTCCACAAAAACTGATAAAGTTTCTAAAGTGATTGAAAACCTAAAATAACAATACAATCCCCCCGTACTGCTGTAGGAAATTATTACCACGGGATGAGATTGTAGTAATAACTGCATCTTGTTATTGATCGCCCCGGCTAGATCACGATCATTCTCCAACAACTGTGTTGAATGTTGAATTATTGTGAAGAAATTACTTCCACGGGACAAATAACAGATAATCATATTCGAAACTCTGGTAAATTAATCAACAGGAATCGCACTCCATAGAATTGTATTCTATGTATTTCCCGTTCAATTACTAAATGGCAACCATTTATCAAACAAGGTAGACAGTAGAAGTGTTCACATTTGACCAAGTCGGGTTATACCGTACACGACTTGATAATCTAAACTTTAATTCACGTCAGAGATATTTGTAGATTTAATGATAATACAAACCTTAATTCCTGCCAGAGATATTTGTAGACTTGATGATACAAACCTTAATCCCTGCCAGAGATATTTGTAGACTTGATAATAATACAAACCTTAATCCCTGCCAGAGATATTTGTAGACTTGATGATACAAACCTTAATCCCTGCCAGAGATATTTGTAATAATACAAACCTTAATCCCTGCCAAAGATATTTGAGAGAAATAATATTCCGGTTGTTGAATATCTACAATAACCCTTAGTCCACTCATAGAACCTGATCCATATGACGTCATTGGTGACGATCTGTTGGAATTAAAGGTATAACACACACCCATATCGGTGATAACTGTCTCAAAATATTTAGAACAATTAACAACAGCACCTCCCCATAAACACACAATAAACATGTCCTCCAATTTATGGGCGGCATTTAGCGCAAATTTGTATAAATTTTTACCCAAGTGAGCTTCGGGCACTGAAATTGGACTTGAATAAACAACAGAGGTAATTTTGATGAAATGCTGCTTAAAGTATTCGCTTAAAACGGACATCTCGCTCATTTTAAAAATAAGGTCTTTGATTTCCCAGTCGTCATTGGGTATTTTGTGTTGACGGAATTGGTTGGCGTTACAGATAGTAACTGCTGGAAACTGCATTTCGTGGTTAAACTCCAGTCGTGTATTGGTAATGATAGGATATTCATAATATTTTGTAAACGATTTATACAGGAAAATGACCAAACCAGTGGTCATCGCTAGCAACATTATTGTCCACAAATATCTGTAAACAAATAAACATAATATTTGACGTGAGGAATAAAGTAAAGCAAAACTTTTTGATTTTTTAGTAAAAGGTGTATTTGTATTTCTATAAAATGTGTATTTATATTTGTATAAACAAAGAAAAGGGGTATTTGTGTTTCAATAAACAAAGAAAGGGGGTATTTGTATTTCCATAAACAAAGGAAGGGGGTATTTGTATTTCCATAAACAAAGGAAAGGTGGTATTTGATTTGGAGAATAAAGTAAAATAAAGTAATGTCTAAATCCCAACAAATTATAAATACTAAATGCATAAAGGAAATGGGATTTAACGTCTTACGTGTCTGACTAATGGCGGTTATACGCCACACATTGAGTGTTGCGCTTCGGCCTCTACATGTTGCGCTTCGGCCTCTAGATGGCTTGTCGACACAAACTGGGTCATTTCGGGACTAACACATGGTTCAATTTTATTTCAATAATTCGCTTGCGCGTAGGGGTCTTTAACAGTGGGAGGAAACCGGAGGACCTGGAGAAAACCCACAGCCAACCCTACTCCTTGTCACGTACAACCGGGGATTCGAAACCACGCCAGATGACTCAATGACAGGCCCCAAGATACAGCGCGCACGTGCTAACCATTTGGCCATCCAACCCCCCAAGTCAATGACAGATATTGTGAAAGTCTTTTTATAACTCTTTATAAAATGACTACTACATGTGACGTCACATCACACAGGGTCGATCACTGCGCGTGTATTGTTTATATAAGACGTTGTAGCGTAAACTGGTCCGGGCAGAATGATGCCTTTTACTCATTTTATGCCCATTTACACTAAATAGGAAATATTTCTACCCAGATATACTTCCAACACCTTTATTTATTTTTTTCATGCTTCAAAAAAAACAAAAACTCTAAGAATTTAATTTGCAGAAAGAGCAAAGTTAATATTGTAAGCTAATTAACCCGCACCGATATCATCCCTCTCAGTGATTGTAGCGGCCTAGCGAATATTCACTGCTGATCAGTGTGCTATTTGTCAGTGATTGTAGCGGCCTAGCGAATGTCCACTACTGATCCAAATGAGGAGTTCGACAAATATATTTTTATTTTTTTAACCTATTTGTCTTATGAAGAAATATCCCCAGCTTTGACCATGCCAAGGCACTAAATATATATTTAAATAACCTTTAATTTTTATTAAATTTAAAATCATGTATGAGAATGTTCTTGTCAAAATGTCGTCTTTGAATTCTATAATAATCTTCTGTAATGTATGTGTTCTAGAAGTGACAACATTCTAACATATCGGATAAACCGGTTGTACAGGTATCTCGTGTTACAATCAGATATGTACTAATATTTATTTAGCGCAGTCTTTAACCCATATTCTACGTACACATATTTTCACATAATCAAGCGTGAAATGTACATGTTATATCCTCGCATTACAAGGATCAAACACCACCCCTCCGCCCAGGATTGCATTACTTATTTTATTGGGACCTGATAATCTCACCTTCAGTGACGGTTGACTACTATATCCAGACGTTCAACAGATATTGTGAAATATATCATGGCAACAAGGGTTACGTAGTCCTGATTTGACGAAGATGGGGGAAGCATTGTATATCGTGTGCTAAATTGTTTGACATATTAGGACTAAAATATAAATTACTTTTTAAGGTGATATGTATGTGTGTTCAGTTTTATCACAATCCAATCAAAATCCACAGATTGTTGTCCGGTATTAATGCGCCGTGATTCTTGGTCAGCAAGGAAAATGGCGTATAGGTTATTTTAACTTACCGTCTAAAAGAATATAGCTGAGGAGACATTATTTTAGGTACACCATGGATGGTTGCTGATCCTTCATACATGTGTAACATTTGTGATCTTCCTAGTCGACATTTTTTACATTCTCTCTCCTTTTCTTTCCTACCACTCTCTTTTTCCTCCATGTTTACAGACAATTTGTAATTCTTTCTGAAAAAATTGAATTTAAACGCTGAATAGAGAATAGGAGCTTACCATACACGCCTTTAATTTACAGCCTTGAATAGAAAATAGGAGCTAACCATACACAACTTTACAGCCTTGAATAGAAAATAGGAGCTAACCATACACACATTTACAGCCTTGAATAAAATACACACCTTTACAGCCTTGAATAGAAAATAGATGGAGCTAGACTTGATTCATGAAACCTTAAAACGGGAGTATCAAATACAGAGAGAGAAAAATTAGGTTCAACATCCACTCGACACAAACTAGTCATTTCGGGACTAACATATTGTTCAATTTTATTTCAATAATTCGCTTACTCGTAGGCATCTTTATTTGTCGGAGAAAACCAGAATAACCGGCATACTCCTCGCGGTGTTTCGTTTGATTAGAGCTAATCCCACTTAACACTGCTGTAATGGAAGCAAATTTCTGATCCAAATTATGACTGGTTAATAGTCAGATTAACAACCAATAGCTAACTGCTGCGTAACAATATCATTACGCTTGAAACAGAGCTCCAAATTGGACGAAATATGTTTACATAACGTTACGTCATGACTTAAATTACGATTTTATTACGCCCAATTAACCAGTGCATAGCAGAATATTGTAGAAAAACTAATTGCGTGACAAACGAGGCTATCAAAATGGATACAATGTGAACAATACTGTTTGGAGACGAACAATGCTTTCATCGGTTTTAATACCTTAAATCATTGTCCAAAGGTTTAGGGAAGACCCCAGACTAAAAGAAGGGCTGTCCTTTAAAAGTATCAGAAGCCAATCCAGCAATGGCCAGAGGGGGATTTCTCGGGTCATTGCTTCAGGAATATGAGGAACCGGAGTAAAATAACAAGGGGAATCGAGACTACGCCACCTAACTCAATTGACGGACCCTGTGACCCAACCAACCAACCTACCACTCGTATCAGATGCAAGGGTGAAACGCACAGTTCTCGGACCGGTTGAAGAGATCAGGCTTGGAAGGGGTTCGTGTCGGATGAATAAACCAGGCTGTGGGGGTTGGACCGATGGGTGTCAGGTTGATTGAGAAATGAAATGAAATGAAATGTGGTTTAACATCCTTCTCTTCTGCTCCGACTGGGCTAATGAAGACGGACATACCTACTCTTCTGCTCCGACTGGGCTAATGAAGACGGACATACCTACTCTTCTGCTCCGACTGGGCTAATGAAGACGCGCATACCTACTCTTCTGCTCCGACCGGGATAATCAAGACGGGCATACGTCATCCAGTGTGCTGCGGCCTGCTCTTATATCAAATTTCAACTGTCAAGGGATCTTTTACGTGCACGTAAATGTGTACACGGGATCTCAAGTTCTCGTCTCATCCGAACGACTATACGCTGTCCTTTGCAAGGCCCTCTGCCCCGCACCACTGACAAGTGGGAACCACAACGTAAAATCCCAATGAACGTTCTCGGCCAACGCAGGGATTGAACACAGCACCTCCAGGTGTGCGAGCCAATGTCTTACACATTGAGCCACCGTGGCTCCCATGAGAAAACCCACGTGGTTGGGCAGGCAACCCTACTCCACGTACAACCGGGGATTCGAAACCACGCCAGTTGACTCAATGACAGGCCTTATGATACAGCGCGCATGTGCTAATCATTCGGCCACCCCTTCCCCCCCCCCCCTCGCCCCAGGTTGAGATAACGTACCTAGTATAAGGATAACTTGTTTATCTGCGGGACGTTCTATCGGGTATTATTAAATTACGTGTATTATAATTTTATAATTTATCCACAACACGGAATATTAAAACTCTGTTTTGTGTTACTTTTTTTAATCTAATTTTCCATTTGACCTGTTTGTAAGTTGTATTGTAAACGATTCAACTCCATATTACATTGATTGCCTTTGAAAGGCTGTGCCAGATGGACGTTAATATACATCATTTGAAACAGCGGAAACAAATTGAAATGATTGTGCCAGATAGACGTTAATATACATCATTTGAAACAGCGGAAACAAATTGAAATGATTGTGCCAGATGGACGTTATTATACATCATTTAAAACAGCGGAAACAAATTGAAATGAAATGAAATGAGGTTTAACGTCCTACTGTTCTGCTCCAACTGGGCTAATGAAGACGGGCATACGCCATACAGTGTGCTATGAGGGAAATTTTATCCGGACAGCGGCGCTACGGCCTACTCTTATATCGAATGCCAACTGCCAAGGAATCTTTTACGTGCATGCCAATGTGTAAACGGGACCTCGGTTATCGTCCCATCCGATCGACTCAAGCGCTGTCATTGTAAAGCCCTCTGCCTTGTACAAACACCGGAATCAACCCTATTTTAACACGAAAAAAGGATCAAATCAAATCGATAACTCCAGACTTCTGTAGTCCCAATAATGATTAAATCAAATCGATGACGTTATACTCCCATAATGATTAAATCAAATCGATAACGTTATAGTCCCATAATGATCAAATCAAATCATTAACATTAGAAACCAGTAATAATCAAGTCAAATCTTTATCATTAGAATTTCAATACAGATCAACTCAAATCTTTAACGTTAGAACCAATAAAGATCAACTCAAATAGATAAAGTTAGACTCACCTAAAAATAAAATCGATCATCAAAATAAAATCGATACTGACAATAACATGTTTGTTTAATTACAGTCTTATCCAAACAATATTTAAATTTAAGATATAAATTTAAAAACATACCGAATTATCTGTTTATTTCCAGTTACCTAATCTAACTGTATTATTTCACAAAATACTTCAGTTCCACGCTACCCACATGTTCAGTGACGAAACGTTATCTGAATCAAAGCTACTGTTAATAAGCTAACATCCGCTGAGCCAATAGATTTATTGGACGGTTTCCAAATAACACAGAAAAAACAACTGAAGAAAAACACCAACAAGTTCTACTAGTCTGACAGTTGATTGAAAATTGCTACAGTAAATATAACAGAGTGTTGTTACTGTGTACCGTTATAGACTTATTAACAGTTAAACTACGCGATCAACTGTAATAACGCCTGTTCAACCTGTCGAACATGTTTTGCATTTTTATATAAATATTCCACGCAAACTGGCAATTTATTAAATGTCAATGCCTTCTCTAATGCAGGAATGACAACGCGCTCTCTAATGTAGCAATCACAATAGTATAATTATATCGACATGAAACGATCAAAGATTAAGGAGGGATTAGTGCGGTGGGGGGGGGGAGCAGTGAGGGCCGGGTTATGTTAAAGATGCACTATGGGAGATTAGATAAAGTATAATTATGTCGAAATAAAACGAACAGAGATTGAGGTGGGAGTGGAGCGGGGGGTGGGGGCGACAGTAAGGGCCCGATTAGGTTATAGAGGCATTGTGGGAGATTAGATATAGAGCTGACTGTTCTCGCTATAATAGTTAACAAAATAGATAACGTAAGTAGAATATGTTGCAAATTCCAATTGACTTGTCCAACTCTGAACCGAGATATTCGCTTTTGAATTTTAAGCCTAGACTTGATCATCATTACTAAAGGCGGTACGATAAAAAAAAAAACACCATAGTCCCGATTATCTTTTTTTGGATTTAATCATTAGAGCAGCAGATCGGATTCAAATCTAGTGAAAATCCGAAACATAAGATGACATCGAGAGTTGATTATGGTTTGGATAAGTTAATTAATGTCTAATTAATAGTTTATATCACATTTCAGGCCTACAGAAAGGCCTGCAATAGGCAGAATTAGCTTTAGCTTTTGCATAATGTATGTTTAAGACCCACAGAGGCCCTAAGCACTTTAGAGATTTTGGTGCCCCCTATGTAATTTAAAATATAAATAATAATAAACCACAAACAACGGTTAAACACGTGATCAGAACTTTTTAGAATTTTATACAGGTCATTTTTAATTCCGACAAAACAGGAAACAGCGTGGAAAGACAAAATCAACGAAAACCTAATTGAAAGTTCTTAATTAATTTTTAGATTAAATTAAACATACATTATGCAAGAGCTAAATCTGATTATTGCAAGTCTTTATTTAGGCTTCAGATGTCATAGAAATTATAAATTAGATCTTTATTTACACAACAAGCACAAAATCAACTCTGTAGACCCACGGATGGCTTGGATTCGCTTGGATTTAAACAGGATTTCATTGATTGATTAAATTTTTAAATGGCGTCGTAAGCTGAGATTAACCGTTACGTTGACGTCATACTCCGGGAAATTTTAGATCGAGGCTGAATGATAGAGTGTACGAAGCGAGGCCGCTGTTGAGCGAGGCTGCATATGTCGGTCAATTTGATTGAAAGTTCGATATATACGGCCTTGATATTATGTTTATTTGTGGTTCAAATGAGAGTTTGGATGTCGGTATTATACGCTCTTTTGTCACTTGCGTTTACAGAAAAATTATGGAAATTGATAAACATCGCAGCTAACATCACCCCAGTTGAATTGCAGCCCATGCAGCCCCATTGGATCAATGTTTCCTATTTCAATTTGTCTGCTTCGGGAGTACACACAGGCTAACAAGATTGAAGAAGTTGGCTATAATTATGCCTCATTGATTTGGTTCATTCCTTTAAAACTTTCGCTTCTTATCTATATAATAAAAGTCCTATTTTTAATTTGTAGTAAAAATAAATGTGATACGAATTGAAAACGTTACTTGATAATCGAGATTATGTAGGTAGAGTTAACGCCTGTCAATCAAACGGCCTGCATTCTCGGAGGCGGTGAAGAGGGATTTGACTCCTATTTCTAGTCAAAAATTACAATGGTGATAACTTTGTTCAGAATAAAGTAATTTGTCTGAAATTTCCAATATATTCTTCTTTTATCATCTATTTTTGAACTGTTATAGCAAGAATGGCCAACTCTCTATTAAAATCTCCCATAATGTATCTTTAATATTTTAAATTTGGCATTTAACAAAGAATACATTCAATCTGGTTAAAACACAGATCCTATTTCGTTTCGTTTTTATAGTTCAAAATTTCGTTTAACTTGTCTTTGGGGGTACTCGATTGAACGTTACGGAATTGAATTTCTTCAATTCCAAAAATAGTGACAATCTAGTGAAAAGTTGGATTTCGGGCTACAACGCATGCGTCGACTGAATAATTAAATATCTCAACCAACCGTACAGCCGAAACCTTTTAAATACGTCACGATTCTACTCACACCACCTCCGTCGTCGGGACTGACAGAACTGTGACAGGACTGAATTCCGCGTCACTCGATTGCAATTCTGTCAATTCGGGACGTTCCGGACTGTTAATCGAGCATCCCCTTTAACTCATGTAGTGTTGGCCATCGAAAGTATAAAAAAAACGAAACGAAATATAGATCTGTATTTTAATCAGATTGAGCATACATTCTGTGGTGCACCTATTACCATGATTCCCTAAGCACGAGCTAATTTGGCTTAAAGGTTAATCCAACCCCGGGGTCAGTCATAAGCGCCCGCTGTGCTGTACAGTCTCGGTCCTGCAGTGATAAGACTTCACTCAAAATGTAAGTAAGCTCAAAATAAGGGAGATAATCCTCGAAAAGGCGGGGGATGTTTCCAAAAAACTTTGTATACAATGTTTTATTTAGATAAAGAGTCAGTCATTCTTCTTGCTATAACAGTTCGAAAATAGATAATTGCAAATTGAATTATTTGACAATTTCATTCAAATTACTCTACTGCGAGCGAAGATATTAGCCTTTGAAGGTTTGACAAGACGTGTGCAATAATTCCAACCACCGTAGTGGTTGTTCGACGCTAAGTCTCGCTCCTCCAGTTTTAGCTTAAATCAAAATATGGCTCAACTGTTCTAATATATTTAATATCGGAGAAATCGGATGTCATCGAGAGTTGATTATGGCCTGGATAAGTTAGTTAATGTCTAATTTATAATTTAGATAACATTTCAGGCCTAAAGAAAGACCTACAATGGGCAGATTTAGCTCTTGCAACATGTGTAAGTGCGTAGAATTGTATGTCTGTTTTTGTGTGTTTAAATATAATGGAACCCCGCCTTTAGAATGTCTGCTCCTGTTATCTTAAGATATCACTATGACACCCACGTGGTGCAATCAACAACTTGTATTGTGTAATTATTTTTATGTATAGAACGTCTGTAGGGGAAATGGAAGTCGAGTCGGAAATTAACAAATGATTGTTTCTGGTACGAGAGAGAGGGAGAGAGAGAGAGGGGTGGGGGGGGTAACGTCCACTCGACACAAACTATGTCATTTCGGGACTAACATATGGTTCAATCTTATTTCAATAATTCGCTTGCACGTAGGGTTTTTTTAACAATGGGAGGAAACCGGACGACCCGGAGAAAACTCACGAGGATGGACGGGCGATGTACACGCTACTCCTTGTCACGTACAAACCGGGAATCGAAACCACGCCAAATGTCTCAATGACAGACCTAATGATACAACGAGCACATGCTAACCATTCGCCCCCCCCCCCCACACACACACACACACACATACACCCCCCCCCCCCCCCAAAAAAAAAAAAAATAATAAAATAATAATAATAAACAGTATAGAGGATTTTCCATGTACAGATGTTTGTAATAAAGTGGACCAAACCAAAGATAATCAAGTCATCTAATTCAACATACGAAGCTTACGCTGTATTAGCTCCGCTTGAAAACAGACACGATGCTGGATGACCGACGTTTTAATTCATAAATCGGCGAATTCAGTCGAAAAATCTAACAATGAACAAAGCTTCAAGAATTATTTTTTTTAAAAAAATTATTCTCATTTAATAAAATAGAAAATGTTTATTTAGTCTTTGTGTGCATGAAAGATGTAAACGGATTAGACGTATCACTCGGCAAACCTCGGCAGATTCCAGTACCCTACATCTAGCCTAGGCTGTATGACGAAGTCCACCATTGGAACTACTTTCATGTTCCCGGATTACCAAATGCGTTACCCATGACCACGCCTTTGAAGAATGTTTTATCATACAAATATTTCAAAATCTAGAGCTATTTTTCTTTCAAGTATATCCGATTTTCTTCAAACAAGGACAATTGAAAATTCTACACACGCCTCGGAAGTGTTCCTAATAAGTAAACCGGTGCCGCATGGCAATTGTATAGGCCTAGGTACATATAACCGTCATACAGCCGAGGCATGAGTAACGGAATCTGCCGGGGTTTGCCGAGTGTAGACGTAGTATACTATTTGTTTAAATATGACGGCTATTCAGGGCAGAGGTCTACTGTCAAAGTAGATAGCTCTCCGTGTGCAAAATGCCAAGTCATAGGGTTTGGATAAGTTTACAAATACCCAATGCACCCAACCACGCTGTTTTTGATAGATATTTGGTAATTAGACACTAGGTTTTAAAAATGTTGTCAGTAGGTGAATCGGTCGTCTCTTAAACCTGTTTGACGCCAATCTTTTAATCTGCCATGTAACATGTTTTTTTCTAGATTACCGGGCACATGTAGAACGTCATTTGGTGAATTATTATGTCTAACACCCGTTTGATATTAGTCGGTAAAACTGTCGTGTAACATTATTATTTTTGGGGGTTTTTTTTGTTTGGGGGGGGGGGGGGGGACTTACTGATTATGACATGAAATGAAATGAAATGGGGTTTAACGTCCTACTATTCTTCTCCTACTGGGCTATAATGAAGACGGGCATACGCCATACAGTGTACTATGTGGGAAATTTTGCCCGGGCAGCGGCACTATGGCGTATTCCTATACCGAATTCTAACTGCCAAAGGATCTTTAACGTGTACGTCAATGTATACACGGGTCCTCGGTTTTTCGTCCCATCCGAACGACTAGACAGCTGTTCTTGTCAGTTACTTATAATGGGTAGTCAGGTGAAAATGAAATCGTGTTTAACGTCCTACTTTTCTACACGCCACGCTACGGCCTACTCTTATTTTAAATTCCAAATGACATGTGCGTTCTTTTAGATGCACGTCAAAGTATAATAGACGCGCCTCGATTTTCGTCACAAACGAACGAGTAGACTCTGTTCCTTGCCATGTCCTCCGTTCTGCACAATTGCCCAGGGAAAAGCTCACTGGAAAATCCGAGTTAATTTCGCGGCAAATATGGGGATCGAACCCCGGAACTCGAGACAGTTTTTTTTTTTATTTTATACGCGATGTTTAATTACCTACTTTATCAAGTTGTATGTCATTAATTTGAAAAATCTAATTTTTAAAATGATCCCTGCTAATGGTGAGACCCTGTATCTATTCACTAGATTTATCTGCTTTGTGTTTCATTGCCTATCGGCCGAGAAAGTTCATCGGGCTTTTCCGACGTGGTTTCCCCTGGCAAGGATAGCTGTCTAGTCATTCGGATGAGAGGAAAAACTGAGGTCCCGTGTATACATTGGCGTGCACAGAAAAGATCCCTCGGTAGTTGGAATTCGACATAAGAGTAGGCAGTAGTGCCGCTGCCCGGAAAAAATTACCACCATAGCACACTGTATGGCGTATGTCCGTCTTCATTATCCCAGTCGGAGCAGAACAGAAGGACGTTAAATCCCATTTCATTTCATTTCGTTTTATTGCCCGCAATGCAATTGTTTGCCTTGCCCGCGTGTTTGTCTTGTGGGTTTCTGTTTATGGGTGGTGTGGTCCTCCTGCTCTTACTTATAATGTATCACATTCGCGTCTCTTTCATAATACGAGTCTTAACGATATAGTGATGATTTTTCTCTGATTTATCAGAATCCAAGCCAAGTCAAATGGGATAGCATGTATAAATATCACAGTCCGTTTGATCCACGTCTCCTTTTTTGACTATTTAGCGGAAGTAAATCTTTCAAGATGGCGTAAATAATTTGAGAGCGATGAAAATAGTACATAAATTAGCCGAAATTGCACGATTTTAGAAGACAGCTGTTTGTATTTAGATGTAAATTCACCACAACTTAGTTAGTAAGTTTAAAACTTAACATTTCAAATGACCCGTGTATTGTAAACTTAATACTATACTTCTACCGAACTGATTCGTCTGACCCATTCATCATCAGTCCTTGAATTGGACTAGTTTCTTTGGTCGGATTTGATTGAAACGAATCGGAATGAACAGCGATAAATATAAGAAACACGGGCTATATTTATTTATAAGGTTTCTAGAGATACAAGCTTTCAATGGTTTTTTATTGCCCATTCCTCGGTTATAGTTTGAATTGAATAAATGTCTGCAATTATGTTTATGACTATGTCAATAATGGAGGACGGCGAACAAAAGAATGCAGTCATCCTCACGCCTATCGATTTTGACTTTATCTGGTTTAAGAGAAAATGAGCAATAAATATTTTTTCATGTTTAAATGTTAAAAAATTGACCAGATGAAGACAATTCTTATAATATATATGGCAAAAATTTGATTTTAAGCGCTGCAAAAAAAAAGAAAAAAAAAGTACCATTGATTTAATCATTTCATGTTTGAGATTATTTTTAGCACTGGATCATGATTTAGAGTGTACCAAAGTTATTTATATGAAAGACATTGCCTTTTATTGATAATTTATTGGAATAAATGGTACATGGATCTTGCCTAGTCTAAATATAAGATTTGGATCATAGGACTATAAAGTTTGGCTCTGAACGTAGGTCTCATTACATGCGCCTTGTACGTTCAGGTTGTCGCCACTTTAACCCTGTGACGTGAAAGGTGATGCAATCGACTGATGAATCGGTCGAATGATTCAGCTAGCGTGTCCACCGCTTTAGGAACAACTTTACATGTACCAGTTTTATTATATCACTTTTCTCTCATTGTCTTCAAGGTACCTCTATTAATACATGTAGGCCTATATCACTTTGCTGTTGTAGTCAATATTTACATGTACATGTACCAAGTGTGAAAGGGTTAAGGTTCTGAAGTTGATGGGAGGGGAAGGAATAAGGGGGTAATGCGTGCATGTTGAATCAAAAGGTATGTCATTGAGTCACTGGTACGTGTCAAGGAGTAGGATCGTCTTTCCAACCTCATGTGTTTTCTCCGGGTCCTCCGGTTTCCTCTCACTGCTAAAGACCCCTAAGCGCAAGTGTATTATTCAAATAAAATTGAACCATATGTTAGTCCCGAAATGAACTAGTTTTTGTCGAGGGGATGTTAAACTCTCTCTCTGCGCCGTGGTAGTAATTTTCTACAGCTACAGGAGAATTATATTTATATTATATTCTCCTTATCACTGGTGGATTTGTCTTAAGAAGTAGAATTTAAGAAATGTTTTTTTTTTATCTTTTTAGGCATTTATTGGTCAAAGCCATGGAGTTTAACAATCTACTTGTATCACCAATCGGGAATGGGGATTGTTCAGAGGACAAGGTGTCTGAAACTTTAAACGATGATTCACAGCCAGCTTCTGTCAACTGTGGTGCTTCAGCAGCTTCTAGTGACATCTGCTCTTTTAGTCCGCTTAACAAACAATCAAATGATCTCAATCCTTCAAATAAAGAAACAGGAAATGTTGTCATCTTGCCGCATCAAATACGGGAGCGCAAGAACTTTCATCAAGACTCGTCAAATTCAAAAAGCATTATATCAACTATATTGAGTAACATCAGTTTGCGTTTAAAATCTAGAGAAACGGAATCCGACAGTGACACCAAAACGTCGACAAACAAAGAGCATTTCATCAACGAGGAACAAATGGAGGACAGTAGTTCAGCCTCTGAAGATTCTGACGAGGAAGAAATGGACACAGCATCAATATTATCCAATAATGAAGACGAAACTGAAAATTCTACTGATGAAGAAGAATCGATCGATTCAGATGACTCAACGTCAACGCCATCTTTAGACGAAAATACAAATTTTGGAGATGTGAGAGAAGCTACATGCGATGAGCATGTAACTGAAGCTGAGCCATTGGGGAATTTTTCAGAAGACAGTTTGGTTAGAGACAAATCGCGCAAACTTACAAAAGATAATTTTTCAGAAGATGAATTTCAAGATAAGGACAATTCTGTTGAAGATGTTCATGTATCATGTAAACTGCCAATGGAGAATTTTTCAGAGGATAGATTTGCTGAAGAGAACAATTCTGTTCAAGATAAATCATGCAAATCAAATATGGAATCTTTTCCAGAGGAAAAATTCACTAAAAAGGACAATTCTGTTCAAGATGAGTCATGCAAATCTACAATGGAATATTTTTCAGGGGAAGAACTTGCCGAAAAGGACAATTCTGTTAAATATGAGTCATGCAAATCCACAATGGAAAATTTTTCAGAGGAAGAACTTGCCGAAAAGGACAATTCTGTTAAAGATGAGTCATGCAAATCTGCAATGGAATATTTTTCAGAGGAAGAACTTGCCGAAAAGGACGACTCTGTTAAACATGAGTCATGCAAATCCACAATGGAAAATTTTTCAGAGGAAGAGCTTGCCGAAAAGGACAATTCTGTGAAAGATGAGTCATGCAAATCTACAATTGAAAATTTTTCAGAGGAACTTGCCAAAAAGAACAAATCTGTTAAGGTTAAGTCATGCAAATCCACAATAGAAAATTTTTCAGAGGAAGAACTTGCCGAAAAGGACAATTCTGTTATGGATGAGTCACCCAAATCCACAACGAAGGACAATTCTGTTAAGGACAAGTCATGCAAATCCGCAATGGAAAATTTTTCAGAGGAGGAACTTGCAAAAAAGGATAATTCTGTTCAAGATGAGTCATGCAAATCTACAATGGAAATTTTTTCAGAGGAAGAACTTGCCAAAAAGGACAATTCTGTTAAGAATGAGTCACCCAAATCCACAATGGAAAATTTTTCAGAGGAAAAACATGCCAAAAAGAACAAATCTGTTAAAGATGAATCATGCGAATCAACATTTGAGAATGTTTCTGCTTCCTTTGAGGCAAGATCAGTTGATTCTCCCAAGGCCCAGTCAGACGTCCCTGATTCTTTTAATTCTTTTGAGCCAAGAACAATCAAAGAAGAACCAGTTGATATTGAGGTGACCGATATCCAACAAACACCTCCTCGTTCTAAAAAACGTAAAAGATCTCAACCCTCCATAGAATTGTCAAGTGATGATATTAAAAACGAGCCCACTACACAACAGGAGGATAAGGCTTTTAAATGTGGAATCTGTGGACGCTCGTTTCAGTGGAATAGTCATTTAGAAATTCACGTCCGATGTCACACGGGGGAGAAACCGTATCAGTGCGGTGTCTGTGAAGCGTCATTCAGTCGTAAAGGTTGTCTACAGTCACACATGAGAACACACACGGGTGAAAAACCCTATAAATGTCAAACGTGCGGGAAAGCTTTCGGAAAACGAGGACATTTGCAAGTTCACACCAAAATTCATACCGGCGAGAAGCCGTACAAGTGTACCGAATGTCACATGGCTTTTCGTATTAACGGGAATCTTCAGAAACACATGACCATTCATACCGGATTGCGGCCATTCAAATGTGAAATCTGTGGAAATACGTTCAGTCGTCAAGACGGTCTTCAATCCCACCTTCGCTCTCATTCTGGCGTCAAACCCTGCGTTTGTCAAACATGTGGCAAAGGATTCAATAAAAACAATGACTTAGAGCGCCACATTCGCACCCATACCGGGGATAAGCCGTATAAATGTGATTATTGCGAGAAGGCGTTTTATTCGAGCACGGAGAGGGTGCGTCACACAAAAACACACACCGGCGAGAAACCTTTTAAATGCGGAGTTTGCGAACGAAGCTTCAGTCAAAGTGGTGAAGCTCAGATTCACATGAGACGCCATATTGGACATAGGCCTTATATTTGTGGAACCTGTGGAAAGGCCTTCTATGACAATTCTGGCCTTAAAAAGCATTTACGAACACATGCACGAAAGTTGGCAAAAATGGGAATAACTGTGCCAGATTTACCCCTGCAGTAGTAAAACAAATTAGTTACATGTAGATTGCCCGCCGGGTTTCGCAATGAGTTATTTCCCTTTTGTCCTAATCAAAAGCAACTTTGAACATTGTGAAGTATGTGGTAATGTTTATTTGGATCATGTTATTTGAACTGTTGTTTTATAAAGATGTTATATGTTGTACTACAAAATAGTATATCACATAGATTTATTTCAAATTTTATTTTATTCAGTAATGATGACTATTTGGGGTTAGTGGATTGAATGAATGTCTGGTGTCGAGTTCTCTCAATCCCTTTTTTTCCGGCATTGGTTTCCGCTTGTCGGTGGTGCAGTCCATGAAAGGGGGCCTAGCGAGGGACAGCGTATAGTCGTTCTGATGAAACGTCCTACTGTTCAGCTCCGAACTGGGCTAATGAAGACGGGCATATGCCATACAGGGAAATTTTGCATGGACGGCGGCACTACTGCCATCGCTTATATCGAATTCCAACTGTCATGGGATCTTTTACGTGCACGCCAATGTGTACACGGGACCTTGATTTTTCGTCTCATCCAAACGACTAGACAGCAGTTTTTGTCAGGCCCTCCGTCCTGCGTCACTGACAAGGGGGAACCCTTGGCAGTTGTAATTCCGTCATGGTGTACACCGGTCATGAATAGCCCAGTCAAAGCATAACAGTGGAACGTTAAACCCTGTTTCATTTTATTTCTCTTAATCCCAAAAATAGTGAAAAGCGAGTGAAAGGGGGATATTTCGGGCTACAAAGCTTGCACCAACTGCGTGAGAAAATATGAGAACCAACCATGACAGCTGAAACATTGGTTGCGTTTATTACATCACGATTCTACTCACACCACTTCAGTTGTCGGGACTGACAGAACTGTGCCAGAACTGAATTCAATGTCACTCAATCGCAATTCTGTTAATTCGCGACGTCCCCAATGAAAACAATCTTGCATCTTATCAAAATATTTCTAAAGGTAGTTGGGGGGGTTGGGTGGTCGAATGAATAGTGTGTGCTTGTTGTAACGTAAGGTCTGTCATTGAGTAAACTGGCATGGTTTCGATTCCCTGGTTGTATGTGACAAAAAGTAGGGTTGCCTATCCAACCTCGTTGGTTTTCTCCGGGTCCACCGGTTTCCTCCTACTGCTAAAGACCCCTACAGACATGCAAATTATTGAAATAAATTGAACCATGTGTTAGTCTCGAAATGACCTAGTTTGAGTCAAGTGGACGTTAAACCCCATTTCCCTCTCTCACTCTAAAGTTTAGAGTTATCTTTGTGTTTATAAGTACATGTATAGGGCTGATCGCTTGTCAGTCCTGAACTGAAATTCGGAATTCAGTCTTGTCACAGTTCTGATTAGGGAGATGGTGTGAGTAGAATCTGACGTAAGCATCTCTTTTTAGCAATCATAATTGGTTGAGACAATGTCTTATGTGTTGTAGCAGGAATACCCAATTTCACTTGATTGTCACTATTTTGGGGATCGGGAGTATTCAATTCCGCAACTTTAATCAAGTATCCCCATGGTGACAGTTTGATTGGCTAAATCTATTTGTTAAGGCCAGCTCAATTTCTGTCAAAGTCGCTGAGATGTAATTAGAGCATGTGATTGTTTGCGAGATTGTAGGTCAGGGTAAGCATTAGGGCTAGGTCCAGGGTTAGGGTTGGTATTAGCGCTAGGCCTTTTTATATCTTGTGGAGCCACGGTGGCTAGGTGTTTAAGATGCTGGCTCGCTAGCCTGGAGGTCGGGTGTTCGATCCCTGCATTGGCCGAGAAAGTTCATCCAGATTTTCCGACGTGGTTTCCCCTTGTCAGTGGTGCAGAACGGAGGGCCTGACATGGACAGCTGCCTAGTCCTTCGGATGACACGAAAAACCGAGGTCCCGTGTACATATTGGAATGCACGTAAAAGATCTGGCAGTTGGAATTCGATATAAGAGTAGGCGATAGTGACCCTGCCGGGCAAAATATCCCTCATAGCACACTGTATGGCGTATGCCCGTCTTCATTAGCCCAGTTTAGGAGCAGAACAGCAGGACGTTAAACCCCATTTCATTTCATTTATATCTTGTGACCTTTGACTAGACTTGAAGTTGGCCTTATCAAATAGTTCTAACCATGTTTATGAGTATATTTTGTATATTGTTTGTATATTTTGTGTATTATCTACATGTAGATATAGAATTATAGTACAAATTACTTCTAGTGTGTATGTCTACATATATGGTAGAATCTGTTGATAATAAATTAAACATGCATTATGCAAGAGCAAAATCTGCATATTACAAGTCTTTCTTTAGGCCTGAAATGTTATCTAAATTATCAATTAGACATTAATTAACTTATCCAGACCATAATAAACTCTCGATGTCAAGGCTAGCCTTCGATGTTGGCTGGATTAGATTCCTATATTGATAATTAAATCAATAAAAGCGGATAATCGAGACTATGCTGTTTATTTTAATGATTTTAGTAATGATGACCGAGACTATGCAAAAATTTCACCCGCTTCTTTCTCGGCTCATAGTGGATCAATTTGACTGAAATTTTCAGCAAATTACCTTTACACTATCTAGGTTTTAACTATTATAGCGAGAACTGACATCTCGTTATCTTATCTCCCATAATGTATCTTTAATCAAGCCTTTTTTGGGGGATTGATTAATTTTCTAATCTCATGGTGGCTCAATGAGTAAGATGGCATGCTAACCTGGAGGTCTCATGTTCGATCCCTGCGTTAAACCAATCTGATTAAAATACAGATCTATATTTCGTTTCGTTTTTTTATACTTTTGATGGCCTACACTACATGAAGATCTGACCAGTTGTACTGGGAGGTCGCGTCAGGGGTCAAAAGACCGACTTATGACCCTATGATGTTAGACATTTGATTAACCAATCAGCATTGATGTTACTAGTGGATTACCCACAGTTCCGTGCAAAACACGCCTAAAGCTCGTCGTGACAGACCGTTTCATTGGCTTATCCCTGACACCATTCAGAACACGAGTTAAATAACAACTCTTCCAGATCCAAGTGTAGTAAAGACAAGTAAAACGAAATTTTGAACTATAAAAACGAAACGAAATAGGATCTGTGTTTTAACATTGGCGTTAAACGAAAAAGTTCATTGTAATTTTCCTGCGTGGTTCCCCCATTGACATTGATGCAGGACAGGGACAATCAGATGGGGTGATAAACTGAGGTCCCTTCTACACAGGGGGGTTGGATGGCTGAATGGTTAGCATGTGCACGCTGCATCATAAAGTCTGTCATTGAGTAAACTGGTGTGGTTTCGATTCCCTGGTTGTACGTGACAAGGAGTAGGGTTGCCTGTCCAACCTCGTGGGTTTTCTCCGGGTCCTCTGGTTTCCTCCCACTGCTAAAGACCCCTATGCGCAAATGAATTATTGAAATAAAATTAAAACCATATATTAGTTCCAAAATGACCTAGTTTGTGTCGAGTGGACGTTAAACCCCATTGCTCTCGCCCTTGTACACATTGGTGTACACGTGAAAGATCCTTTGGAATTGGAATTGGAATTCAATATACACGTAAGAGTAGGTTGGGTCGCTGCTGTCCGGAGCAGAACAGTACAAGTAGGACATTTTAAAACTCCATTCGTTTCATTTCACCACTGGACAAAGTTACAGGGTAGGGCTGTGATACTGGGGGGGGGGGGGGACTTTGCCCAGGTAACTGCCTCTCAACCTGGGAAAGGTTTTTAATACAATGCTAATTTGTGAACCTTAGTTTTCCTTCACACCAGCGTGGGTCATTACCCTTTCTAGTCACTTCTACATGCCCCTTCCAACTCGGGTCAGTTCTAGAAAATGCGGGGCCCAATTTGTGGGCCCAAAGTTACAGGCTATGAATACATTGCAGCTACAGGATATGAAAGAATAGCTACACCAGGCAACCCTGGTGTCCATTGGTGAGCTGCGGGGCCCAGATTCGGGAAATTTGGTCAAATGTGCAAAAAAACTGCCCCGTTCTCAAGAAGTGAAGACTGGGCTCCATATTAAAGAATGTTCATCAGAGGTAGGCTATTGTGCAATGTGCACTTTCGTTATTTTTATACACCTACATTTTTATTTGGACGTATTATGTTGTGTCGACTGTCAGGGCGTCTGTATATCAGGTATGCCGTTCACTTTATTTTGTGTACACTCTAGAGATCATAATTTTGATGAAACTTAAAGTTACAATTTCATATTTTCTAAGAAAGTCAAAACATAATTATTTCTATGTCTTTTGCTCAATAGGTTGTCAACTTGCTATTATAAGATCATAGGTTATCTTTCTCACACATAAAAATCTTCACACCGGAAATAATAACACATTACCTCCCAATTACCTCCCTTGTTTTCCTATTCCCCACCATGGAATTAAGTTAATAAAAACGTTTGAATTTGAAGTTGAAAGTGATATTTTTGCCAATTTCTCAACTGGCAATAGTGAATTATAGGATTAATAGGATAGGCTGGACTGTTTATAGATACCATCTATTGTAAGGCTTTATTTTAATACATTTTAAAAATATAACTTAAAAATATGAAATTGTAACTTTAAAATATAAGTTGATTTTTCAAAGATATCAGATCGGTTGCATTTTGGTATGTATCGGACGGAAATATCCTGGATTATTGCCCCTAATTACGAAAAATCACCTGCATAACGTGAGGAGACTCTAGAGGTCACAAGTTTTAGAATTTGTTTGGCGGAAACTAGACCTTAACTTCCCGTTGAAATTGCCCATCCCCGTTAATTATTTGACAAGGTTGTGGATCTCCTAGAGACTACAGTTTTTTGTACGATTTAGATGAAACTTAAAATGAGTGTTAAGGATCAACAGATCTCGGATGGGTTCAGTTTAGGTGGTATCAGACCGGAACATCCTGGTTTATTACGCATGTCTTTAATGCCAGGTTGGGTCCCTGATCTGCTACGTGCAGATACCTTTGGATACAGTCGACACGATTTGCTACGACTGATATCAGTATGCGATAAAACCCGATAGAATCACCTCGATTACTCCACGATTAAAACCACGATTTCAATCGTAGCTCGGGATCACGTGGCTAAGTGGGTAAGACGCTGGCTCGCTATCCTGGAGGTCGGGTGTTCGATCCCTGCATTGGCCGAGAAAGTTCATCCAGATTTTCCGGCGTGGTTTCCCCTTGTCAGTGATACAGGACGGAGGGCCTGACAAGGACAGCTGTCTAGTCGTTCGGATGGGACGAAAAACCGAGGTCCCGTGTACACATTGGCGTGCACGTAAAAGATCCCTTGGCAGTTGGAATTCGATATAAGAGTAGGCCGTAGCGCCGCTGCCCTGGAAAAATTCCCCTCATAGCACACTGTATGGCGTATGCCCGTCTTCATTAGCCCAGGTTAGGAGCAGAACAGTAGGACGTTAAACCCCATTTCATTTTATTTTCATTTCAATCGTAGCACGAATCGTCATAGTGGGAACCTGGCATTAGCAAATCTGTAGTTTCTGGGTTCTTTTGTGTGATGAATTAAGAATTGGAGAGCATGAAACCGCCATATAGGATAAAGTTGTTAACTTTCTTTTCTTTAAATTCCATGTAATGCATTGGGAAAATGTGGGCATATTTTGCTATGTGATATAACACAGCACCCCCGTTTAAATTGATATAAACATATTACAAACAAATATATCTACTGGAGAAACTATGTGTGGTAGACATTCTGGAGTTTAAATGGATATATCTACTGGAGAAAATATCTGCGGTAGAAATTCTGTAGTTTAACGTCAAAAGTTGACAGAAGAAAGTGAAAAGTTGACAGTTGTTGTGGTCCGAAATTTTCGCCAGACAGCGGCACTATGGCCTACTCTTGTTTCAAATCCAACTGTCAAGGGATCTTTTACGTACACGCCAATGTGCACGCGGGCCCTCGGTTTTTCGTCCCATCCGAATGACTATAATTTATACGTTGTCACTGACAAAAGGGAGATAACGACGAAAAATTCCGATGAACTTTCCTGCAGGGTTCCCGCGGTCCTTGAATATCCTTAAATTTAAAATTTCATTTTCAAGGTCTTGAATATCCTTGAATTTCGCGGAAATAGGAAAATATCCTTGAATTTCAGTTGAGATCCTTAATTTTGTTTCAAATGTCTTCAATTCCTTTTAAATATGAGATTATAACGATAGTTGGTAATGTTTTGGTTATTTTTAAGATGAAAAATTGTAACTTTAGGCTAAAAAATGTTCTTGAAAATCCTTGAATTTGACTTATATTTATTCTTGAATATCCTTGAAAAAATGTTTGACGAAGCCGCGGGAACCCTGTCCTGGCTAACATCGTGCGTGATTGACAATTTAAATTTGAAAGGATGGAAGTTTTGTCGTAGAATGTTGTCGAAACCTAGTAGACTTATAAAACTTGCGGATTAGACGGAATATTAAATGAGTTTCTAATTAAATGTAAAATCACCCTGATGCCTTGTCTTAAGAATTTATTTAATAATGTTTATGATTCGGGCTATTTTCCCACAAGTTGTCCCAGTCTTTAAAAAGAGAGATGTAAACGACGCCGACAACTATAGAGGAATAACGCTACTTAGTTGTTTAGGTAAATTATTTACAAGTATTTAAACCCAGATCAAATTTGAAGCACAACATTCTCTCATTATACCCCCATCAGACCGGGTTGTCGTCCTTACTGTGCTGCTACGGCGACGGAAAATGGTCTCAGAGCGCGTTGTGATCGCCATAAGCGTGGTAAAAGCGTGGTGGAAACGCCAGATATCGTGCTGTGGTCTCCATGGTAGCAAATGATCGTTGAGTCACGGCGTTTGTTTTGAGCATGTTCAAAACAAACGCCAAGGTTCAGCGATCTGACCCGGAAAGCTGTGAGAATGGGATTTTTTTCAAGTTTATAATTTTTGAGGTTATTTTCTACACGTTTGCCGGCGACCTTGTGCATATCCTGACCGCCGTAAGGTCGGAGCACCGCAGTAAGGACGCTGCCCTGGTCTGACAGAGGCATTACAGACGTCCAATTCGGCTTTAGAAAAAATATGTCAACTACTGATGCTATTTTTTCCCTACATTATTTAATTAGAAAATATCTTAATAAAATAAACCGACTTTACCACTTCTGATTATAGGAAGGCTTTTGAATTTGTAAACAGATATAATTTATGGCACAAATTAGTAAAAAAAAGGCGTTAAAGGGCATACTTTTAACATAATCAAGTCACTTTATGACAATATCAGGTGCTGTGTCAAACACGATAATTTACTCTCTACAATGTTTTTATGTTCAGATGGATTATTTCAAGGTGAGTTTGCATTTTCTTTGTATGTGAACGATTGCAAAGATCAGTTTAAACAGATAATTTACATAGAGAAAGAGAGAGAGAGAGGGAGAGAGAGAGATTGGGTTTAACGTCCACTCGACACAAACTAGGTCATTTTGGGACTAACACATGGTT